GCTCTACGGTCGATTTGGGGGCGATTGGTATGCACCTCGCCGCCGCCGGACCCCTATGGACCCTCCAAAATCGAGTGGTCCCAGGGGGGCCGTTTTCTAGAAATGGACCCTCTGGCCAAACGGACCCTCTGGCAGGACGGCCCCTCGGGCCAAATGGACCCTCTGGCCAAACGGACCCTCTGGCAGGACGGCCCCTCGGGCCAAATGGTCCCTCTGGGCCAGACGGACCCTCTGGGCCATTTTCACAAAATGGACCCTCTGGCCGAGGGGCCACGGCCCCCCTAGGGGGGCCATTTGGGGCCGAAAAAAAAAAGTGCTCCAAATCGCTCCGGGGTTGATCCAGGCGTGCTCTACGGTCGATTTGGGGGCGATTGGTATGCACCTCGCCGCCGCCGGACCCCTATGGACCCTCCAAAATCGAGTGGTCCCCATGGTCTGATAGTTCCGCCCTTGTATTTTTTCATTTTTGAGGCCGCCAGAATATATTTTATGCAACTCCCTTTATATCTATATCATTATTATTATTATTATTCTTCATTATACTCCTATGCAGTCAAAGACTATAAGGAGTTCACTACCTAAGGTAACCAATACTTAGCCAATCCGTGGCTGGATTTAAATACAGCAGGTGCAGGTACAATTTATCCTCAAAGATAAGAAATTTGGATATAGTAATCTAGTCTCTTTAAAGAGAACTAGATAATTTTAATAAAAGAAAATAAAGAAATAAGTAGTATTCCCCTAAGGGTAATAAGAAAAAGGAAAATAACGAATGTAGTAGTAAAACTAAAGAAAATTCTTAAAGAATGTCTTTTAGAGCTCTTAGCTCCTATCCTCCCCTAAAAGCCACTTTCTAGTAGCTATTTGGGTTTCTTTCAAATAGCTTAAGAGCCATTGTTTTCCTTTCTCTGTCTGAAATATATATTTTAGATTCCAATTCTGAATCTTTTTTTCTCTCTTTAAACGGTCTCTAACTTCTTTATAAGAAGGGCAGAGAAGTAAAAGGTGAGCTGGGTTCTCCTTTTGATTTCCTCTACATGCCTGACAGGCAGAAGAGTTATATCTAGGGAGTCTTCTTAGGTAGGATCTAAAGTATCCATGACCTAATTTTAGCTGACTTCTAGTAGACCAAAGGCTCTTAGGCTATTTATCTTTAGAAGCTTGCCATTTAGGAATAGTTTCAAAAGGTAGATAGTCTTTTCCTAGACCTCTTTTCCTCTTTTCTTCTAGATCTTGATTCCACTCCTCTAGAGCTATTTCTTTAATTTTCCTCTTAATAGTAGCTAAAGAGGTATATTTATTTTTAGAAATATCTCTAGGGTCTCTAGATCTAGCCCCTAATTTAGCAGCAAAGTCTGCTTTTTCATTTCCTAGAATATTCTGATGGGCTGGAATCCAGGCTATTTTAATATTATAGCCTCTATCTTTTAGCTCCTTAGCTATTCTTCTAATTCTAGAGATATACCTCTCACCGCCTTCTAGATATGATTTCTGTAGTCTCTGAATAGCAGCTTGACTATCAATAAATAGCCAGAGTTCTTTATTAGAAGAATAGGTAAAGAGTGGGTTTATTAGAGAAAGATTTCTCCTTATAGCTTTTAAGCCTTGAATAAAGGCCTGCTCTATAGCGAAGAGTTCTGCATCAAAAACTTCTAATTCTGTCCCTAGGCTCCAAGATCCATAGTTAGCAGTCCTAAAGTTATAGATTCCTGCTCCTAGATAACCTGTATCAAGCTTAGAGCCATCAGAATAGTAGATAATACTATCTTTATTCTTTAAGACTTCTTTAAGAAGATCTAGATACTCCCTTTTAGCTATCTCTTTTGGAGATTGGCTGATTTTAAGGTCTATTAGGTTCTCTAGACTTTGATTCCAAGGCTTAATCCAGTTCTGATTAATAGCCTCTATTTTAGAACTTGATAGAAGGTTAGCTATTTTAGAGGTTATTCTAAATAGCTGAGAAGGTTCTAATTTCTCCTTTTTACCTTCTATATAGTCTAACTCAGACCAATCATAAAATTTTAATCAGTCTAGGTCAATTCCTAAATCTCTTTCTGTGGGGAAGGATTTTGATACCCTAGCCCTAATAGGATGATTATCTTGAAGTTTAACTATTCTTAGAGTATAGTTTCGGCAGATTCTATCTAATCTCACCTTTATTGGTGGAATAGAAGCCTCAATTTCCATAGCGTAGGATGGAGAGGTTCTAAAGGCCCCTAGAATCTTTCTTAGGGCTTTATTCTGTAGAATTCTAAATTTTTCCAGAAGTTCCTTCTGACCTCTCCACCAGATAGGGACCCCATAGTCCGCTATTGAGATAATATATGCTATATATAGCTGTCTCATAGCCTGAAAAGAGAGACCTCTTTCTGTATTAGAAAGCCTAGAAATTTGGTTTAAGACTTTCTCAGCAGCTAGAAGCTTTATCTCCACATGTTTTTTAAAGGTTAGGTTATTATCAAAGAATACTCCTAACCACCTAACTAGTTTCTTAGGTTTAATATTTAGACTCTTTCCTTCTATATCTATAGATATCGAATCCTGGTCCTCATCTATATTTCTATAGAAGTGGATAAATTCAGTCTTATCAATATCTATCTAAATAAGAAGTTTTTTTTGCCTTCCTAAGATAATCTCTAGAGCTTCCTTAAGTCTTCTAGAGTTTTCTTTCTTTGATTTTGAGCTTATAATTAAGCCAATATTATTAGCGTAGCTAGGTAGTCTTATATCCCTTAGTTTTTCGTAATCTTTAAATAGATTTCTAATATAGATCATAAAAAGAATAGGTAATATAGGAGAGCCTTGTGGTATTCCTATCTCTATATCTCTTTTATCTTGAACTTCTCCGTCAAAGGCTAGCTAAATAGTTCTTTTAGACATAAAGGTAGATATCCAGAGAATAAGAGATTTAGGAAGGCCTAGTTCTTGATAGACCTTTATTAATTGATTTAGAGAAATATGATTAAATACTCCCTTAATATTAATAAAAAGGAGAAGAGGGAAACTAGGTTTAGTTTTCTTTTCTTTGCTAGTTGAATATCATGGGTAAGACTCATAGCAGCATCTATAGCTGAAAACTGCTTCCTTCCCCCTAACTGATCAAAATAAAGAAGATCTTTACTAGAAGCTAGGAATCCTAGCCTAGTAGCTATTATTTTCTCTAAGACCTTCCCTAGACAGTTTAATAGAGAGATAACTCTATAGGATTTAGGGATAGTCGAGTCTCTATTAGGTTTTGGAAGAATAGCCTCTATTGCCTCTCTCCAGCACTCTGGGTGATACCCATTTTGAAATAGTGCCTGGTAAAGCCTAAAGAACCTCTTTTCTAATATAGGGAAAACCTTTTGAATTATTAGAAAAGATATTCTATCAGGACCTGGAGCTTTCCTAGGAGAGCTTGTAAAAATAGCTTCTTTAAACTAGAGTGCCCGTATTTTTGACAGTAGTAGCATTGGATTCTAGCTTTAAAGCTCTTTTCTTTAGATTTATAGGTCTCTGACTTCCTATATTGACCTGCTACTAGAATAAGCTTAGGGGTAACTATTTGTTTAAAATAGAGAAGGGCTGAGCCTTTTCTTCTCTCTCCTAGTTCTTCTTTTTTAAAGAGCCAGACGGGATCTCTTGGGAAAAGGTTCTTTAATTCCGGATTAAAGTATTCAAGTTCTTCTCTGAGAAGCTTTAATCCGTCTTGTCCCTTAAAGGGTTCTAGATCAATCCCGTGAACTATTAGGTGAGCCTATTTCTCATCCCTTTTTACTTCTAGGGTTTCCTTTAGTTCTGGGATATTTGTTACAAGAATAATAGTCAGAACAGGACACCACGGTACAACTATGGTGCCGATAACATCATATGATAACACGCCAAAATCGGCACCACGGTATAACCGTGGTACCACAACACCACGTGACTTACACTAGATAGAAAGTAGACAGAGTGTCAGAACTTAGGTAACCAACCTTGTTACCATCCTGAAAGAGACCTTACGGTAGATAAACCCGTAGAAGACCTTACAATATTTCTCTTTAGGATTGAATCCCAGGCTTGTTGATTAGCTAAAAGGAAAGAACTAGAGAAATCGGGCATAGGATTAAGCACTAGGTTATTTCCCTTATAGGTCTTATTAACCTAGGCTAAGACTGGGAGGGAGAGTGCTTTTTCCTTAAAGAAGGCCTTATTAATCTGATTTCGAATATCTAGCCCGTTAAAAGGCTTAGAATTCTTTGGAATACTAATAAATAGCTTCCGTGAAGAGGTTGTTTATAAAGAAGGAGTAGATTCCGCTTTAGGAGCTAGAGTTGCTAGATTCTCCTTAGCTTGCTTAGGCTCCTTACTCCCTTTTTGGTTAAGGGACTGATTTCCTAGGACTTTTGCATAGGTAGGCTTCTTATTTTCAACGAATTGAAAAGAGAAGTTCTCCTTAAGGGGGGCTATAGAAGGCTTCTCTTTAACCCCCTCAAGTGCTTGGATTCTTTGCTCAATCCTTTGCAAAAGGGTCTCTAGGGATTCAGTCTCTTTTAGCCTAAAAGAGATAAGTTGTTGGAATTGCCGTTTTTGTTCCTCAAGGATATCTAAGATATCCTGGTTCTTTTCAGCCTTTATCTCCTGCTCTAGGAGATTAAGAATAACTTCTAGATTAGAAGTTTTTGCCTTTTTTGAAAGAAAAGAGGCTAGTTTTTGCTCTTTCCCTCCTTTTCCTACTATTTTAGGAGAGATAGGAGAGGAAAATTGAGCTCTTTTCTTAGCTTGAAGAACTCTAGGCTGGGGGGTTGGAGAGGGAGGTAAATCGGGGAATTCAACTTCCATTTCACTATCCTGAGATTCAAGGATCTGGAAAGGATTACCCCTTTTCTCTAAAGAGAAAGGAATAGCTGGCCCTAAGTCTTGTTTCTTTAAAGGAGCCATTGGGGTCTTCTAGCCTATAACTAGTGTCATGCCAAGAGAGTTCGCCCTGTTGCTGACTAAGCCCTTACTAAGGCTGACTAAGCTACGTATATATATACCTGACTTCTTCCTTCTATTCCAGAAGTCAGTGATTAGTTCCTTAGCAATATCACACCTACGTTTACGCTCGAACCGCTCTTTCCTAGTAACTGCAGCGTCTATAGCTACCTAGCCTCACAGTTCTAATCACTCTTACATCGAGGACGTTCCATTACTAACACCATGAGCTCTAGTCGAGAAAACGAATCCGCTACGATCGCGGAAGATACCCAGCAGGATACTCAGAGCGCCCTCCCGCTCGAGGAAACGCGCGACGACCAGAACCTGCCGGAACCTAGCGAGGACGAAGACCCTCGGGTGGAACGCGACCGTTTGACGCAAGAACAGCGTGATCTTGAGAACAGAATCAAGACTCTCCGCCAGCGCAAGAAGGTGAAAGCGCTGAGGGAGCAGATGGAAGCCCTGACTCGCGAATTAGAAGGGCAGGAACCAGAGACCCAGCCGGAAGGACTAACCCAGGGCGAGGAATCTGCTGACGAGGAAATTCCCCGTTAGGAGTCTCTCCTGCCGGTCCCTGAGGGTCCGGATCCTGCGCCCGAGACGCTGCCACCAGCGTCAATCCGCGCACCGAGTGCTTCACCCTCCGTGGTATACAACCACAACCATCCTCCACCGTTAGCGGGCACACCTCGCTGGTATCGCAACCTGGATGACAACTACCAGGGCACGGCCCCGATGAGAAAGGGAGTCAAGAAACT